CGGTGTAAAAATTTTCAACAAAACTTTCAATATATTGGCAAAATATTTCCCATTTAAAAATATTGTGTTGTGCTGGTCAACTAATTGAAATACACGAGACTGAGGCATTATTTTTATTGGTTTTGTAAGTTACAATGACCTTTACCTAAGGACTCAAGTGTCAGAATCAAACTGCTAAAATGTCTTTTTTTATTATCATCTTTTGAAAAGTGAGTATTTCTCCAATACTTCACTGCTTACTTGTTTTCAACAGTGCAACAAACGTCAATAATTTCTGTTAATCTGAAATAATTCTGTGGTAGTGGAAGCTTATTTTTAATTGTCTCACTGATATATTACCAATTGATAGTATTAGCCACTTCACTGGGCTGGAGCGATAGTACAGCGGTAGGACGTTTGCCTTGGACGCAGCCAACATGGCCAGCGCGAGTTCGATTCCTCCGCCCCCCCTCGGAGAGCCCGGTAAGCTACCGAGAGTATCTCGCCCACACAGCAAGCTACCTGTGATGTATTTGATATGCCAAACACAGTAACAACAAAGTCTCCAATGGGGACTTACTGGGCCCGCTCGAGCAAATCGATGAATAACGGGAGGACAGTGACAGTGACCGTGACAGCCACGTCACTATTTTATCCTAAAGGAGAAATAAGGTAAGGGGGGAAGGGATATTTTAAAAAGTAGATGGTGGGTCACATTTTTTCTGTCCTCTTCTCCCATTTGATGTTTGTTCCTCCCACGTGCAAAAATCTCTCTTTTTTCTCTGATCATATTTTCAAAATATATCATTCTAATGTCTGGATCAAATGTATATTAAAATCAGACCACTGAAACCAGCTCAGTTTTAGGAAATTTATCAACTTGTTTAAAAAAAAAGGCATGGGATTTCGCACTCTTTTATTTAGATAAGTCAGGAATTCCCCCTTTTCAAGTTTGTAATCAGAATGGATTTGGACAAATATTGGAAAGGCATGTTCAAAGATGACTACTGGCCGACAGTGTTACTGGTGGCTCCAGAAGAGTAGCGCAATGGTCAGAGCTGGGTGAATGGGTTGTAAGTGTGTTATTGTCATACACACATACAACACAACTATGAAAGCAGTAGAATTCAGGGGCTGGAGTGATTATACAGTGGGTAGCACTTGTCTTGTATATGGTCAAAATGGGTGATAGATGCCCAGCACCCTATATGGAACCCCGACCCCATCAGGATTGTTCCCAGAGTACAGAATCAGGGGTAAGCCCACACTCCCCACCCCACCAAAAACTAGAATTCATTATCCAGGAAATATTGATTGTTCCTGGGCTGGAGTGATAGCACAGCAGTAGGGCGTTTGCCTTACAATCGGCCAACATGGCCAACCTGAGTTCGATTCCTCCGTCCCCCTTGGAGAGCCCGGCAAGCTACCGAGAGTATCTTGCCCACATGGCAGAGCCTGGCAAGCTACCCGTGTCATATTCGATATGCCAAACACAGTAACAACAAGTCTCATGATGGAGACGTTACTGGGCCCGCTCGAGCAAATTGATGAACAACGGGAGGACCATGACCGTGACCGTGACCTGGGCTTTATTACTTGGATAAAATATTCAACCTCTTTTAAATTACTTTCCTTAGAGGTTAAAAAATAATAATATAAATAAGACAATATAAAAAAGTCTAAGATGTTCCCTATATTGTAGTAAATGTTGTAAGATTTAAAGAATGTGCATGTAAATGATTTACAAATGCCGGAAATTGTTAAGCACTCATCACATTTTCAATATGTTGATTTGAAAATGGTTCCTAAGACTAGTTTAATGGGCTATATACACATATACACAAAAAGCATATGGTATTTGCATGGGCAGGAAATGTAATTGTCCTATAAGAAGCAATTATGGTTTGCAAAAAGATGCCTAAGTGGGCAAATGAAGGAATATACAAGGAAATAAGCTATCTACTATTTTCTCAGTAATCCCCAAAGCAATTTCTATAATAAACTTCAAAAGGGAGGCCAGGAAATCTGGTTTTGGTCATAGGAGCTGAAGATGTGTATGTATTATTTTGTGAATTATTCACATTCCAAATTAGGGGACTTACTTATCTTTGCTTTATTGACTAAATATTCTCCTTCTCTCTCCCACCCCTTCCTCACCACTAGAGCCTTCCCACGAGTTTCCTTCGGAATTCAGTTAGTCATTAGTAAACTTACCATCTTTTTTACTGGAGATCCCAAGAAGTACTCAGGAGACTCCAGTTACCTCCAGCAATACTCAGCCAACCAGGTTGGTGGTTTAATACTAGAACCTCAGAATGTACACAGAACACGTGGGGCCAGAAACCACCAAAGCTACACCAGTGGTACTCCAGGGCTATCCTCAGAGGAATCCAGGACTCCACCCAAAGGCACTTGGGAGGGCACGTGGTGCTAAAGATCTGGCCCAGGGTGGGGACTTGTCTGGAACAGAAACCACTGTACTATTTCCCACTATCCATCCATCATCATCATGTTATTATTGTTGCTGATGTTGTTATTGTTGCTAATACACACCCAGCTGTGATACAGGACTACTCCTGAGTCGATGCTCAGCAGTCATTCCTGGCAGATCTCAGACAATCTGAAGTACTGAGTTCGGGTCAACCATGTGCAAACAGGTACGCTATTTGCTGCACCATTTCTCCAACTCTTTCCATCAAGCATTTTTAAGTCTCTGATTTCATGAGATCATACATACCATTCCTTGCTGTACCTATTATCTAACAACTCCTGTGACAGTCTAATATGTTTGTAAAGACTTTAGCTCCTAAATCTCTTTCAAAAGCCACCAGATGATTTTCTAATATTTTATACCAAGGTCACCAGCAACCTTTACTACCTTTGTGCAAATAAGAAAAGGCAGAATGAAATCCTGGAAGACAAAGCTCAATCCTATGACTCTAGTCTGAGCAACCAAGGGCTTCTAAATTTCAGCCATTGTTGGTTTCCTCAACCAAGTGAATATATACTGTCCAACCATTTGTGCCAAAATTCCTAAACTTGACTCCTATTTTCTCTCATTTCATGAAAGTAAATATTTCATATTATCTTAAAATCAATTTAATGAAGTCTACTCTCAAATCACCTATCCTTCTAATGCATCTTCTCTAGAACACCAAATCAAACAGCATTTTTTATCGTAAGGTGAGTTCCTTCTCCACACCATCCCTCACACAATCCTATATTCCCTCACCTCCCCAACAGCTAAGATTTCACGGATGTTGGTCTTAATTCCAATCACGCCTCAACTCTCTTGTTCTTATCTTGCTTCATGATTACATCAGGAAAAACCCCAAGCTCTATTTGAATCAAACTCATTAGCTCCGCTATACTTAGAAAATGGTTCTGAATAGCACAGAGAAAAATATACACCCATGCTCTCTGGTTTCAAATTAAATTCAAGTTTCATATTCAACTTTATGAGTATCCTTAAAGGGCTGGAGAAATAGTATAGAAGTTAAGGCTTTGCCTTGCATAAGGCTGACCACAGGTCAATCCCCAGGACTATGAGTGTTACCTAAACTGAGTCAGGAATGAACCCTAAGCACTCTCAGGATTAGCCTTATAAAAAAGTTTCCCAATGCAAGATTGTTGTCAAAGATGTTAATCCTCTCTTTAACTCTCTGTATACAAAAACTTTCCCCTTTCCTCAAAGACCCTTACAAAAACTGTCTGCAACTGTAATTTTTCTTTCATTCTCTTGAACTGTCAAGTTCATCATTATCCTCACAAAGTAAAATTCAAAGGTATTTTTTGGATTCATTTTAGTTCCTAGATCAAAGGCATTTAACACATTTGAGTGACTTCCTTAACAGAAATAGTTTCTTCATTTGGTTTCCAGAATAATAACAATCCCTTACTACTGTCATTTACTTTCCATCTATTTTATTGTTTCCGTAATCTCTAAAATATCTTAAAATTAAAGAATTTCTGACTTAAGTCTTGGGTCTCTTTTCTTTTCTATTTTAATGTAACTAGTAATATCATCAGCTTTTTGTCTTTAAATATTATCTATAATTGATTACTTCCAAATGTGTATCTCTAGCAAGATCTTTGCCATTAATTTAAGACAGAGTCAACATGATATTTTAAATGAATCTCACACTAAATATGCCCCACACAGATCCTGATAAACAAAACTTTAGCCAAAACTATCTGGGAACACTATTCACACTCAAACTTTGGACTCATTTCTTTATTTTATGATCACATAGAGTTCAGCAGTTCCTGTTGGTCTACCTTCACTGATATCCAGAACCACCACATTTCCATCACATTTTGTAGCTATTCCTTTTACTGAAACCTCCAGAATTTCATATATATAATATATATAATAATCATATATAGATATTCTTATGTTTCTTGAGAAAGATAAATATTGATAGAATTCAGAGGTGAAAAAATGTTCATTATAATTCAAAGGTGAAAAATTATTTCATCAGAATTTTGGAAAGGTCACTTACTTTCCAACAGTATTTCATAAGAATTTAAGTTTTTATGTGGTGAGGAATATTAACACTAAGATTAATTTACTGAAAACAAACAAATGAAAAAGTTCTATAAATTTCCTACAATCAAATAAAATATTAAATCAATCACAAATAAAACAGAAGTATTCTCAGCACCCACATCAGCAGACCTTTCTGGTCCTCACATTATAAGAGTATCTAAGAGAACAAAACTGAGATATTCTGGTAACACCCTAACATCTTTCAGGTTAAATGAATTGAGAACATTCTATGCTATCATCCAGAGAATCCAAAATTGTTGTGTTTTTTAAAAATGTTTTTATGTAAGCAACTATTTCCTTTTCTTAAGGACACAAATTTTGATTCAAATTATTGAATGAAAAACCTTAACAGACGGTAAAACTAAAAAGAAATTTATACATATGATAAAGAGGACTCAAATAGTGAATTAGTGGAGTCTTGCTTAATTCTTAAGAGAACAGGGTTAAGAATAATCTTTGAAATTCAACTTACCTCCATTTCCTTCTCCATTGGCATTGGCTTCTGCCATCTCTGTGCCATCCAGTTCAGATTCACAGCCTAAATCCAAAGCCCCATCACCTGGGCATGATGACTCCTCTTTCTATATTGATTTTTAAAATGATGATTGACAGAGATAAACGTTAGCAACTGAAAGTTTTCAAACTACTTTTAATGTTCTACAATACTACCAGTTTACTGTTATTTAGAATTTCAAAACAAATTCATTTTTCAGACTTAATTCACTCTTTGAAGCAAAAAAAAAGCAAAACCAAAAGGTAATATGCAGGGGAAAGTAAATTACTGAGATAATATTCATATTACCACTGCAAAAATAAAACTTTCTTCTGACATGTTATTTTCTTTAAAAATTATTCTACATATTTCCTATGCAAAAAGTGATTTAACAACTCAGATTTTGGAATAGTAATTAAGTACCAATTAGCTACAAAACTATGACTGTGATATTACAAGTTCTTTTGAATAACCTGTGTTATTTTCTGAAACACACCCAGTGACAAAAAAAAATCTGTTTCTTTAGCAGGTCTAATTTTTAGTATTAAAAAACATCTTTTAAAAGAAAATGTAGACGAAATACTGACTCTACTTGTTCCAAGTTATGCACAACCTGAAGACCATTATAATCTTTTGTCCTCTAGAGTTTTACATCTGTGAAAGCATTTTCCATTCAAGATGGGAATGAAAATTAAACTAAAGTAATTCAGACTCAGTTATCTGAAGATTTTATCTCATCCCTTTACTCTTACCTAACAGACATACACTATTGGTAAAATTTATGTGAGGTAGTTTAATATTAAATAATTGATTTAAATCACCAAGTTTTTCAGAAGTATATATTTATTATGTTTTTTAAAAAGAGAAAGGCATACACACAGGTGTGAAGTATATACCAATTAGTGTCGCTAAGTCAAAGAGTTTATGGTTAACTGTGATCATTTATGCTCTTGGCTGATTGTTCGTGGCACTCCTTCATGTAAAATTTTTTAAAATCAAGAATTTTAAGGAAGCCACAAGTATTTCCATTACCATATGTTGAATCAAAACCACAGATATGTTTCCTTTAAAGAAAAACGTCATTGTTTATTCTTAATATGAAATCATTTTTAAGACATCTGAAAATACTTAAAAGGCACAGGGATCATTCTACCCTTCACCCCAATCTAATTTGTTTACCTTCACATGTCTTTAAAAGTGCATGATATATCATAATAACTTAGACATTAATATGTAGAAAATCCAACTTACTTTGAGAGCATAGAGGCCTGACTTTCCAGGGATTTTGAAGAATGTTCCATCCCCTATTCGAGTGTTAGTATGAAGCATTGCATTCAGACAAGCTAATGGAGAAGTTCCACTAGAAAATAAAAGTGTGCAAAAATGAAGCAGTCTCAGATGCAGCTTCTGTGGAAAATTGTTCTCTTGGTCTCACTCTAAAAAAAAAGACCCCCTCTCACATGCCTTTTTAAAATATCCTCCCAACCCGAAAACATCTACATTACAATAACAGGCCAGTCCAGTTTCACCAAAGTTAATCAGATGCATCTGTCTTATAGGCTTCAGGCAAAAAGTCTCCTGAATTGAAATTATCTTTCTATTCATAAAAGCAACCAACACTGTATTTCAAAGAAACCCAAGACCAAATGTTTAAGAGGTATGATCTAAAAAATAATGCTACGAAGCCTCAGTTTTAAAATATTACAGACAACTTGATGGTTGCACTTGAATGATCAAAAAAACCAAGTTCAAGGACAGCTCCATCCTATAGGTTGAATAGCAACAAAAGATTAATGGGAAATGAGGAAGGAACTGATTTGAAATTACAAGTACTTAAGTTATAGGACTGCATTTCTCAGATGGCCCAGTAAAAATCTCTATATCTCTATCTCTACTTAAATTTCTTATACAGTTTCTACAATGACATTTCTTTACTCAGATTTGTCAAATAAAGAAGTGTTTGGGAATTCTGCCCAGCTAATATTATGCAGTTATAAAGATGAAAGTGACTAAATGATGAAATCAACTGAGTTTTTTAAAAAATAAAACCAATTATTAAAAATATCAGAACACATATTTACAAACATCACTAAAATGTATTTATGCACTCATAAAGGTATTTATGAAATATATAATATGAATGTATTTCTAGGGTAGATTTTAAAATCTACACTTTTGTGTTTTATTTATAAGGTAATAGTTTAAAGACTAGAATTTAGAACTAGAATTAGCATTTTTTTTAGTTATGTTGCCATACATATCCTAATATACTAAGAAGATCAATAATCGGCCAAACTGCTATTCATTAAAAGTCCAACTCTATCCTACTCACCTCTAAGGGTTAAGTGTATAATCTAAAATATTCTGGGACAAGGGAAACTCCATCATACTAAACTTCCAAAGTTTGAATTTCTAAGACAGAAAGATAATTTTATGTGACTAAAAAAGAATTCTAATTTTACTTCTGTAAGGAGAAAGAAAGCTTACTGGTAAAATAAAAGAGTCAAATTTGCTGAGTTGCCAATATAATATACTTAACAGCACAAGTCAGCATGTATGTGTATCATGGTCAGGAAGGTTTGTAAGCATTATATTAATAATAAGATTCTATTATTTTAGGAAGCAACTTCTCTGTGCCAACACATCAGTATAATTCCATCAGGTTTAACAAGAAGCAGGAGCCTTAATACAAACTTTTCATGAACAAAGGAGTTATAACACTAAAGTACATATGGAAATAATACTCTGCATTTATGTAATATCTTTGCCCATAAAGCATCTACAAACTTAGAGATTTCATTTTATTATATATTTTCTTCAAAAGATGGTTTGCTGATAAGTGGACTAGGCATATTTTATAAAGTAAAATATATTCATTTCCCCAGAAATGTCTGCTCATGAATAAATTTTAAATAATGTTATACATGTTACAGTAAATCACTTCTATATATATGTATATACATTTTACCATTTTATCAGTCCTCTCCTCAGACTGAATAGACAATTTGAAGATGGTTATTATTATGACACATTTCTGATGTTGCAATTTAGTAAGAGTGACAGAAATACCAACTTTATATAGGGAGGAGGCAAGAAGTTGTTAACAGTACAAGTAAAATGAATCCTATAAATGATACAATGTCAACTTTAAGAACTATGACTTAATAATACTGCCCAGCTAATATTAAACCTCATACATTCTCCCTGTTCTTTATTCGTAAATTAAAAGGCACAACTCCAGAATTCAGATTAAGACTATTAAAGACTATACAGATTTTAAAACAACTAAAATAAACTTGAGCAAATATAATTTAACACCCAGTAATTTACATTTCCATTCTAAGGTACAGTAAAGCAAGATAATTGTAGACGACAAATTGACAATTAAATACCAGTTTAATTCTATGCTTGTTGTAAATATGTTACAGGCACTCAGCTTCATAAATAAGCTCAGTTAAGCATGAATATACTATTAAACTATACTGTGTATTAAGTCAATAAACTTAATATTCACTATAGAAATATTTAAAAATATGAAAATCAAATAATATAATAAATTTCCAACTGTGAGCACTGTAATTTTTCCAAATATTTCCTATGACAACATACAAAATTTGTTTTTACTTCAAAAATGCATAACATTTGCATTTTAAAAGAATTAAAATTTTGCAAACAAATGCAAATTTTACAATTCAAATAACTGGCTGAATTAGTCACTGTTTTAAGCATATCACTTACATTTCTTTAGAGAAAAAAACTAATTATATGGTCCATTTTCTTTAAAAACAATAAAACATTAGCATCAAAAGAGCTAAGTGCCTATTAAAAAGTAGCTATATCACCCAGTGCAGAATATTAGCAGGAAACACATTTGGAAAATTTACTTCTTGCTATTATTCTCAACAAGTCCAGAAAATTTAGAAAATTTGGAATACTTTTCCTGAAGAAATTAATATCTTTAACCATGATTGAAGAATAAGAGCATGCTGCATAATTTTGTTATTTTTATCTTGATAAAAAAAAATTGATCAAACAGTACATCTTGGCTTGCTTGATAAAGACATATATGCAGGTACATCTGAACCATACAGAGCAGTGATTAACTTCAAGTATGAGAAAAGTTGAGGAAAATAAACATTAGAGGTGCATATTTTTAATAATGTTAATACATTTTCCATTTCCTTCTGACATTTTTATTCTCAATTAAAAAAATCTTTCCTCTTAATGTAAGGGCTCAATCAGAAATTATAGGATAAGAAAATATATCTGTATATAGATATAAAACAATGAAACACTGATGTCACAAAAATATTTTTAAAATTTCAAGTTACTTACTTTCTAAAAAGATGAGGTAGAAGAACCATGGCATCCGATATATGAAAGGGAACCCCCCAAAAAAGAGGAAAAGAGAAAAGAAAGTTAGTTTTACAACTTACAATATAATTGTTTCTATTTCAGTCAATAGAGCAACTCATAAGAAATACTAAAGAGATTTGACTGCTCATAAGGAAGAACAAACTGGGGAACTGTTACAAAAAAAGCAATTTTGACCTTCATTAATACTTCTATGTTTTCACTGTGTCAAAGTAACACATGCATTTTTATATACTAAGGTAATGAGAAATAAGTAAGCAAGAGAGTAGCTGTTCCCACTTCTTTCCTTTCCTTCATTCCTGAGAACTGGGCCTCTCCTATACACCTGCCAGGGTAGACATACAGCTTATTCTACTTGTTTGTTTTCCTGATCCATGCTGCTCTGTGGAGCCCTTCTGGTTTGTTTTCATTTCCCATACCCCCTGAAGCATAACAGGGGTGGAATTCCAAGGCATAATTTAAACTGTCTAGACATCAAAGAACCCCCAGAGATATGTTGCAGAGCCCCAGTGCCATGTGAACTACATAAAAACCATTGCTTTATCACATCAAATTGCTGACAGAATACAAAACATTTAACTAATAGGGTACATTTAATGGATGGAACGGACGTCCCATTTTAATAGTTTTTAAAATCTAGAAGAATACCTGGGGAATGTAATTAGAAGAATATAAGTAGACTTGATAAAGAAAACATCATAATTGAGGTCCTTCATTCCTTAATATATAAATTAATAATGCTTTTAAGATTTAATTAGTCTAAGTCTTTCACTACTTATTAATTAAAAGCGTTAAATGAAAGCTATTTCTCATACTTCAAATATTAAATAAAGAGTATTAATAATGGAATATTAAGTAATTAGACCAGAACAATGTAGGTTTAAAGTTCAACAAATTTAAGAAGTAATCATTAAATTGCATTATTAGTTATTGTGATAAGGACTATTAATATAAATTAATAGAAACAATTATATGCTCACTCCCTCTTCAAAATAAGTATTATATTAGCTTTTAAGGGATGACAGCTTATGGGACTATCTTAATTATAAAAGATAAGAGGAAATCAATCATTTGGGGTGTTTCAGCTGATACTTCAGGTAATACTTTCATTCTCATACCTGATCTTTGAGGTCACCATGAGAAAATTAAACTATGGTATCTGTGTATTTAACTGTCTATATATCAATTTCATACACACAAGAAAGCCTTTGAAACTGTAAAAAACTTAATTAACACACACTCTGAAATTTAACTATTTATGCATTTAATGGCCACAGCATTAATAATATAGAATTAAACCAATTCTATCAGTGAATGACAAATACTAAATATTGATGCACAATGTCTATATATCAAATTAACAAATCAGTAACCTAGATGGCTAACAGCCACCTCCCCAAAATCAAGCTAGCTTATTTCTCTTGAGAAACATAAAGTCCTTTAAGTGACTGACAGTTCTTCATATACATTTTCTTAGTAATCCCAGCACATAAAAGCAACCAAAAAATTACTGACAGCAATTTTGAAAATTTAGTTTGATGACCAGTTTCCCAAACTTAGGGGGCCACAGTTCCACTAAGAAAATAGAATTATGTAATGAGCACTGGCATATGAGTAATAACAAAGAATAAAGCCCTAAAATTATAAAAATAAAAATAATGTGGGTCAAATATAAAAGAATATTATATTTTTCTGTGAAGAATATTTACAATATTTTCAATGATTTTCAATGTTGAACATGTTCATAAGATAATGTTATGAATGTAATACTAATACTCTTTTATTAGATGGGGATATTGCTATAAGAAATAGTTACCAAAGAACATATCTGGGATAATTTCTTAAATTTAGAGAACAATTTCAGACTCCAAAATGAAAAATGTGTCTCTTATAGTATAAACATCATTAAAAGATATTAGACTATGAACAGACTTTTGAGTTTAGATCTTTCGTCCACTTTACTGCTGATACCTAAGTTATCACAGA